TATATATACTTTTTAATTTTTTAAAAATTTTTTTAAAAACAAAAGAAAGAAAACATATTAACAAACAGATATCCATTTACAAAATAGCATAAGAACAATACAAGCAATACTGAATTACAGACAAAGTGATGGGAAATTAACAATGGTTGTTGTATTACCTATTGATATCTTCAAAGTGGCTTCTCAGGAAAACAGATAGAGACAGGCAAGATTGATCAAATAAGTAATCATTAACTGTTCCTGTCAGTAAAGAGATAGAAATCAGTAGTACAACTCATTTACTTTTGTATAAATGTATCATTATATTACATTTACATTATTTTTATTTCATCAAAATGTGAAACATCACTGAGAAAAAGTAGAAAGAATAAAGAGATGTGTCATGTTCATTTATTGGAAGACTCTTTTATGGACATATCAATTATCCTTAATTTTATCCAAGGTGTGCAAGTTAGAATAAAACCCTGATACGACTACACAATTCTACATATGGGCTAAAATCGAAAGGACAGACAATACCAGGTGTCAGCGAGGATACAGATATTTAGGCACTGTCACAAATTGTTGATGACAGTGTAAACTGGACATCCATTTTAGAAAGCCATTAGACATTGTTTTCTAAAACTAAGCACATGCACCCACATCCCAGTAATTTTACTCTTTAGCATTTACACAATGGAAATGTATCTATGTGCTTACTAAAGCATACCTACAAAAATGTTTATAGTAGCACTGTGTATTTGCATTATAATTCTAATTGAAAAATATCTCAAACACGCATCACTAGTAGAGTAGATATATTAATTGTGATATATTCATACAAAGAAATGTGAGATTAGCCAAACCACACTATATAACATTGATAAGTCTTTCAAACAATCAAGAAAATAGATATCTAAAGCACATGTTGCATGAGTTTTATATAAGTCAAAATGACTGGAAGATGAATTTTAATGGAACTTGGGAAAATTTTGTCTTTATTTGGGAGATATGGTCACTTTGGGAAAATATTAAGTTGTGTTTATTTTCCTGTATAATATTTTATTTGCAATGGGAAAAAAGAATTGAAGTGTGTTATGTACATATACCAATTCCCTACAGTGAATGTGATCATTATATACTGCAAACGTGTACTAATAAAAGTAAAAAAAAAAAAAAAAGAAAAGAAAAAGAAAGCATTGCATACATTTAAAAAGTACCTAGCCACATTTTCACCATGAGTGGTTTAAATGTTTTCCCCACTATGCCTGTGTATACTTCACCAATTCCTTCCTACCTCATTGGGTCTTCAAACCCCATCCACAGCAAGTCAACGAAATTAAACAGTTCTGTTCTTCTGTGGAAAATGTAGCTGCAAAGCACATAAGCACTGCAGTAGGGGAGGGACTGTTCACTACACTCTCTTCCCACCTCTCCTCCTCTCCATCCAACTTGTCCAAAAATTCCCTCTGTCCTAGGAAAACAAACAAGCAAACAATGCCCCACCCTGACCTATGTGTCACAAACCCAGTGACCTCAAGTTCTCTGGCCATTCCTCTTCCGGCCAGGAAGCATTCAGGGGCAAATTGACCAGGCCGGGCTATATGTAGTGAAACTTTTCAGACCAGATGTTCACTTCCTTTGGCAAATAGATTTTGTAGCCAGGCTGAACAAAGTTGCATCTCAGCTTCTCCATTTCTATGCTGTGTGATTGTATCTAGTCACTTAGGTCCAGAGTCTTAACTTTCTCAGACATGAAGAACTATAAT